TTCAACACCATGACATTTCTCGGACACTTGGAAACTTGGTGTTTGCTCCACTGTTATTGTTAGGCTGAAGACTTTGTGATGAGATGAGCCCTTCAGTTAACCTGATAAAAGTGATTGTAATATTAAGTTGTCCATCTAAAGCAATTGATTAAACACCCCGACTTTATGGATTCGGCTAGCTAGAAAATGGCAAATTAAATCAAATTTATCTAAACAAGAAATTTTCGATAATGATGGACTAAGGGAGTTAAGGAAGACCTTTTATAGTCAATTCCACATGAGCACTCGAGAATTTCATTTTAGATCGATATTTTCGCACTGCCTTTGTTAAAGGAGTTTACAAAGCTTAAACAAATGAAAGATTTTAGAGAACTGAAATAGAAGGTCTAGTAATTAATTATGTTGGTTGTGTCATTTTGTCCGCATCCGATTAAATTTTCAAGCCAAGAAAAAGGGGCAAGTTGCGACATTTTGGTGGTCGAAACCTTAGAAATTAGGAAGCCAACCTGGAGCCAACTCATCAATTCGGATATTTGTCAAAGAGCTATAACTCTGAAAGCATTAAAAGAGCTATTGATTCCTTTGATATACTTTGAACTCATGTTTATGATTTGATTCGATTGCAAGCCTGAATTTAGGAGCAATGTTTTACAGAATTCTTATGTCTTTTTTTCCCTTCTAAAATAAGAGAAAGGAGAAAAACGTTTTCAAACAAGACAATATCAAATGTGAAAGGCTGCAACCCGAGAAGAAAATGGGGCATGGTCGATTCCGAGTACAAGACCAACAGACAAAATGAGGCTCCATTCAGGAGATAAAACAGAATCAATTTATGTTGCATGCATCTCAGGCATACTTAAGAGCATCATATTTATCATTTTTTGCATACATAATTTTTGCAACTTTAGAGTCAAGTTTCAACTTCAAGACGAAAGATACTCGATTCAAAAGATCCTTTAAAGATCGATGGTTTTCTTAACTCAGCAGTGAGAAGCTACACCTCAAGCAACTTGACATTTTGAAAGATTGAAAAATCTTATAATCAACTTAAGACGGGTTTGAGAGCCAATTCAGAACGAATCCAGTTCAGTTTAACTCAATGACAAGTGGTTATTTTTCAACTCTAAGACAGGTGATATCCGACTGACAGACTACCTCACTTGTCTTTCTAACAAAGAGAAGTCACTCAAAGATCATCTCACTTGGTTCAGACCCGCTAAGGGGAACCACCTGAAGAATTATGACCAGCTTAGACCCGTGAAGGGGAGTCATTTCTCACTTAAAGGAATTATTGGCAGCATAACTCAAGGCGATAAGGGTTATCTATCAACCAATACCTTCAAGTTCGATTACATTCAGCTCAAAGGAATATTAAATTTACAATATAGCTCAAGGTGAGAAGGGTTATATGTCACCAAAAGACCTTCGAGTTCAATTACATTCAGTTCAAAGGCATATTAAACTTACAATATAACTCAAGGTGAGAAGGGTTATCTGTCAGCAAAGACCTTCGAGTTCGATTACATTAAGCTCAAAGGCACATCAAATTTACAGCATAGCCCAAGGCGAGAAGGGTTATCTGTCAACAAAAGACCTTTGAGTTCTATTACATTCAGCTCAAAGGCATATCAAATTTACAGGATAGCTCAAGGCGAGAAGGGCTATCTTTCAACAAAGACCTTCGAATTCGATTACATTCAGCTTAAAGGAATATCAAATTTACAGCATAGCTTAAGGTGAGAAGGGCTATCTGTCAACAAAAGACCTTCGAGTTCGATTACATTCAGCTCAAAGGCACATCAAATTTACAGCATAGCTCAAGGCGAGAAGGGTTATCTGTCAACAAAAGACCTTCGAGTTCGATTACATTCATCTAAAAGGAGTATCAAACTTACAGCATAACTTAAGGCAAGAAGAGTTATCTATTAGCAAAGACCTTAGAGTTCGATTACGTTCACCTCAAAGGTATATCAAATTTATAGCATAGCTCAAGGCGAGAAGGGCTATCTGTCAACAAATACTTTCGAGTTTGATTCTATTAAGCTCAAGGGCATTTTAGATTACAACGTAGCTTAAGTCGAGTTCGATTCCATTCAGCTCGAAGACACATCAACCATGTGGTAGCCTCGAGAAACTACTTTATGGTTGAAGCTGAGGTCTTTAAGTCAATAAGAAGATCTGGGGCAAACTCTCAGCTTAGTACAGTATAACTCAAGGTGATAAGGGTTATCTGTCAATGAAAACTTTTGAGTTCGATTTCATTCAGCTCGATGACGTATCAACTATTTTCCGGTTAAAGTTTAAACCAAGGTCTTTAAGTCAAGAAAAGGACCTAGGTTAACTATGCTTTAGTGACAAGAAACCATCGAGTTTGATTCCATTCAGCTCGATGACACATCAACCACATGGTGGAGTCAAGGAACTATTTTCCAGTCGAATTTTCAAACCGATATCTTTAAACCGAGAAGAAGACCGAAGTTGACTACAATTTGGCAACGAGAAGCCATATTCCGATTCAAATTCCGAACTACGGCTTCAATTGCATATCATTGCAAGATGGACTCGACTTCGCTACGGAGGAGTCATCCGCAACTCAATTCGACAGGGAGTTATTCTTAATTTAAATATCATAGTCAATTTTAAACTCTACCGAACGAAAATTTGTGTCATTTTATCTTTGTCCTATTTTTCGTTCCACAAAAAAGAACAAAGAGGGGCAACTTTAGACACTCATTTTCGTATGTATTTATTTATTTATTATTTTATTTTTTGCAAATGATTTTTGAAATATATATATAATATATAGTTTTTAAAACATTTTGAAAATATATATATATATAATATAGTTTTTAAAACATTTTGAACATATATATATAATATATAATTTTTAAAACATTTTGAAAATATATATAATATTGAGTTTTTAAAACATTTTGAAAAAATATATATAATATATAGTTTTTAAAACATTTTGAAAAAATATATATAATATATAGTTTTAAAATATTTTGGAAATATATTATATATGGTTTTGAAAATAATTATTTTGAAAACAAATATATGATATATAATTTTTAAAAATATATTATTATATATTATATTAACATTATTTTTTTATTATTTATTTAATTTTATTTACTTATTTTTTCTTTATTGATTTTGGATCCAGGGTCCAATGATTCGGTCCAGGTCAAGGGGCTGCCTAATCGGGTTTGGGCCTGACCCAGCCCAATCCCGGACTAGGGTTTCAAAAGTTTGTCAAGGCGCCGCATAGTCAATGAGATCAAGCCAATCACGCAAAACGTTCGACCGACATCACGGGACTGACCCATCCTGGGATGACTAGTCACACGAACGGTTGAACGACCCGAGAATAACATAATAGCCCATTGAGGGCAGAACTAACAAGAACCGGTGGTGGGTATAAATACCCACCTGATCATCGAACCAGGGACAAGAACCAACACCGAGAATCATCGATCCACGGCAAGATCAAAACACAGAACCACCATCAACACAACAACAAACCAACATCGAAACCAAACGCAAGGAAGAAGAGAGGGCACAAAAACCATCGATCAATTGAACAACAAGAACGAGGCAAAACAACAATCCAACACAGGTAACCAACAGTAAACATCGATCAAACACGACGGAGCCACGACAGAAGCAACAACATCGAACAAAAAACAATCACAATAACCAAAACCAAAACACCAAAAAAACAACAAATAAAATAAAGCAATTAAAGATATCAAGAGCGAAGGAGCACAGAGGAGCTTTGTCGGGGCAGAGATCGTCGGTCGCCGATTAAAACGAAAGGGTAAAAAAAATTAAAACTTTTTTTAGATCTACGCCTGTGGGGATTTTTTTGGGTGTTTGGGGTAAGACTTAAACAAGCCTTGGTTTTCATATATATATTTACCAAAACTACGTCGTTTTGTTAGGGAGCTTCTGTGCATTTTTTAAGCATTGGGAAATAGCAGTTTTAGTCCCCTTGTTTTGGTACTCTTGTTGTTTGGCTGTTAATGTAATTTTATGATATTTTAATTGGAGTCTTTATTTTACCATTTTTTTTATTTCAGTCACTAGTTTAATTATTATGTTATGTTTAATTATTTTAAATATGATCCTATAATTTATAAATATTTAATTTTAGCTACTGATTTTAAATGTTTTATATTTCCTTTGATATTCTAATTTGGTCATACTATTTATAAATTTTTTATTTTTAGTCACTATTTTACATTGGGTTTAATTATTATTTTAATCCTTTAAATATTTTATTTTATTTTTTATTTTATTGTTTTCTTTGATTTATTTATTTTTCTTTTATTTTTTTCTCCTTTTGATTTATTATTTTATTATTATTTTTTATTCTTTGTCATTTTTTTGAACGTTTTTTCATTTATTTAATATTTTTCTAACATTTTCGACTTATTTTTAGAAGAATTCCAACCAATCAAAGATAAGCAATTAAAATCGGGTTTTTAAATTTTACTTTTCGCGATTAAGACAACCGACAAATTAATTGGTACTGAAAGGGCGGTTTAAGGGTACTAATCTTTCCTTGACTGTAACGGACTCCCGAACCCGACACATTTCTGGTAAAACGCATATCATGTAAGATGGTGTCAGATCCACCTAAATGTTTTTAATTGATCGGTGGCGACTCTAACTCATTTATTCACGTCGAAACTCAATTCCGGACCCAATCAAAATTCGGCCGCGAGAATAGGTATACAGTTGACGTATCAAAACTACATATATCGGCCGCTAATGGCATATAGAATTTATCCTATTAATACATGAAATATTAACCTATATAAAAAATAACATAAAAATACAAAGAGCATAATATAATATATAGAAATAAGGAAAGGCCAGAGTGGTCGTGTTTGTGCGTGTATCAGTGTGATCACTTAAATAACCACGTTTTCCCTCCGTCTATTATTATCTCCGTATCTTTTCTTCCTCTCTTTCCCTTCAGAAACCAAGTAATGGGTGACTCACTCAACTCGGAAACCGAGTCAAGTACTGATTCTTATGGAGGTAAAAGAGAACTGGGTACGGACTCGAAGAGGCAGAAGCGTCAGATTGATAGTAGTAATAGCAAACAACCGGTTTACCGAGGGGTGCGAATGCGGGCGTGGGGCAAATGGGTATCCGAAATCCGACAGCCCCGTAAGAAGAACCGGATCTGGTTAGGTACTTTCTCGACTCCCGAAATGGCCGCACGCGCCCACGACGTTGCAGCCTTGAGTATAAAAGGCAACTCGGCGATTCTAAACTTCCCCGAACTTGCCGACTCGTTTCCCCGACCAGCTTCTAGCTCGCCACGAGACGTCCAAGCCGCCGCCGCCAAAGCCGCTTCAATGGAGTTCTTAACTAATAATACTACCAGCGACAACAGCAACATCGACTTCACTTCATCTTCATCGCTGTCGTTATCGGATTCCACGTCATCGTTGTCACCGAATGTGGACGACGTTTCGGTCCCGGAAGAGCTGAGCCAGATAGTGGAGTTGCCGAGTCTAGGGAAGAGCTATGAATCGGCTGAGTCAGGGAACGAGTTCATGTACGTGGACACAATCGACGGATGGTTTCTTAACTCCGGTGGTATGCCTTGGTATTACGAAGAGAATTGTGGGTATTTTGGGGAAGAAATTTCAATCCAGTTGCAAGAAAGCGAGATTACATCTGGTTTCGTCCCTTTACTATGGGATCACGAAAAACAAAACAAAAATAGTGTCTTTTTCCTAAAAGGTACTCTATAATTTGTATTATACCAAACTGGTCCTCCTATAAAATAATCTTCCTCCATGGCAAAAAATAGTAAAAGTACACGGTTTGTACCGATTGGTCAAATTTCAAGATTTCATTTCCTAATATGAATTATGCTAAAAAAGTTTTAAAAACTCCAAGAATAAGAGCACATATAAATTGCTTAATTACTTTTTTTTTTGCGAAGCAACAATAACATTTACCATTTACCAACGTTGCTTAATTAGACTAATTTATTACTAGTAATTATAAAGTATAAGGATTGAATTATAACAAATTAAAGCATAGGGATTAACTTACTATTTTTGTAAAATGAAAGATGAAATTGATAATTACACCTTGAAGTGTATACATCAAGGGAAGGGACCATTTGTTTACACCCCTCATTTTATGGAGAGAATACATTCTAAATTTATAACTTCTATTTCTGACCAAAGAGTTAGTCGTGTCAAATAATTTATTCAATTTTAATGTGTTTATCGGAAAATTAAATTATAATAATTTAATGTTCGAATTAAACAGTTCATTTAATAATCAATAAGTATTTATTAATTTTAAGTGATTTAATCTTTTTATTGTCCAATTATCGCATGATTAAAGTTTAAGATTTTAAGATTTAGAGTATAGCATTTAAATATGCTAAATGATATTCAAATATATACGTTTGTGAGACATGCTTTCCCCTATCGGTATATGAAATAATAACTCTCCATTGTTATTTGCAACACCATGAAAAATTTAACAATTTAATTATCATTTCTGTGGAAGCCAAAACAGTCTAACTAGAAATAGAAAGATAAAAGATTGAATCATCTTTATAAACGAAAGGTAAAATTGAAAACATTAAAGATTGAATTTGTCCTTATATAATAATTTAAATAGTAAGAAATTTATTCGTTCTATTTACATATTTTTAAAATTAACTTGAATATATAATATTTTATTATTCAATATAATTCCAAATCGAATTGATTTGATTTGATTTTGATTCAAAATCTTTCGAGCAGGTAAGCTGAGCCAATGAACTCAACTCACTGACCCATCGCTTAGCTGCGAGTAGGGGTGTAAATGAGCCGAGTCGAGTTCGAGTATTGTCGAACTCGACTCGAACTCGAAAACTTTAAATGTAGGCTCGACTCAACTCGAAAACTTGCGAGCCTAAAATTTCCAAGCTCGACTCGAACTCGAAATATAATATTGAAACTCGACTCGAACTCGAAAAGGCTCGAACTCAAAAAAAATCAGGAGCTCGATTGAAGCTCGAGACTCGATCTCGATTCAAGCTCGATTCAAGCTCGAACTCAAACTCGAACTCAAACTCGAATTTAAACCTACAAAAATCTTATATTACATTTAAAATATATAAATAATTTTCCCTTTAATCAACCATCACCAATACATTTTTTTATGATAATATGAACTCATTTCAGAAACTTTATAGGATGCAAACAAGAGTAGTTATGGTTGTAGAACAGGTTCTAAACACATAAGAATCTTTTAACATGATGGAATCTGATAACAATTATAAATATTACATACATATGTTTACCTACATATATACATACATAGATATATATGATCTATAATAAATTATATTAAACTTGGGTTTTTCCCGTTAGTCTTTCAGAAGTGGACTACTTTGTTGGGTTACAAACATTTGCTAAATAGGTAACTTCAATTAGGAAAACTTGTCCAGAAAAAACAAAAGATGCAGATCAAGAAGTGCAGATTTTTTTCCCTTTACTAGAGGAACGCATTGGTTCAATTTCCACTTTCCAGAAACTATGCCAGTTACAAGCATCTGGTTATGAACATGCATATGCACATGAATGCAGGCTGAGGTGAACAAGAGAGGAGGACCTTCGAGACAAGAAAAGCAGCAAGTTGTCTCTGATGCTTGCCAAACTCCTCATCTTCATACAAGCTTTCTCTGAAAAAAGCAAGCATAAGATCAATATACCCACCCAAAACTCATTAAGTACTCTACTTTGAATTAGAATCGCTCCCATTTATAGGCCCATTAACCTATACAAACTACCCATGAAAGAAACAGATCTTGCCATAATAAATTTAAATAAGTTGAAAGCAGATAAGTGAAGATAAACCTAATATCCCCATCCCTATTTCACTCCAATCCCCGTTGTTTTTATTCACTGTAAAGTTCAATTTCCTAAGTGACAAATTATTAACTACATTACAAAATAATTGCTTTTAGTTCTTTCCAATATGAAACTTATGCAGTACATATAGCTTAACTAAAGTAATCAATTATCACATACCAAGAATGGACACAATATAGCTGTTGAATCCAAATTTTCACCCTCTTCCAGCTAAATAAAAAATCGAAAACGGAAAAGTTGAACCATGCTAAATCTCCAAGAACAAGTAAAACAACCCAAGCTTACCAAAATTTGAAATTTACCCACTTAACGTACTGAATGTCAAACTAAATTGTCATTTTTCTAGTATAGCTAAATCAAAACATCAAGAATAACTTTCTTCACTTCGTTTCATCCAATTTCCTCACCTACGAATCAGATCAAAACAACCGACACCTAAACCCAAACTAAATAAAAGAAAAATGCCAAAGAAAAAAACTCAGGCTTACATGATAGGAACGCTGGTGGAGATCTCTGGCCAAAATTGATCAACGAAGCTAATTAAATTAGAAAGTGCGTGATATTTCAACTGAGGATTGCTCTCGTTAAGCATCGCCAATAACCCTCCAGCCAAACTGACCATGGTCGCCGCAGTAGCAGCCTCCGTTTCTATTCTTCCCCGATAGGAGCTTGCCTTTGTCGCCCGAGTCTTGGGGTAGCGTTTAGGCCACGGTGGCTGTGGGTTTTTGCTAGGGGCGAGTGGACGAGGTTTGAGAGGAGAACGGCGAGGGGAAGTTTTAGCCAAGGAAAGTTTGAGGGGAAATGAATTAGAGTAATAGTTTTTACCCTAGATATCTTGCTTTATGTGTTCCTTTAATTTGTGCTTATTTTTAATTGTGTCTTGTAATTTTAATTATTTGACATTGTAATCCCTTAGTTAGCTTGTTTAATTTAATGAGTAATTTCTACTTTATATGTCTATTTTCAATTTTATATTGTTTTGGTCCTTCGTGGCATTTTTAAAATATGAGTTTAAGTTATTAATAGTAGGTTTAATCTTATATTGTTTCATCTTAATGTATGTGCATTTGCATTTCATTCGTATGCATGTATGTATCGTGTTAGCACATTTTAGTTTAGGTAATAGTTAGGAGTCACATAACATCATTTTGCATAATTTGTATGTTACCTTCATGTGCATAACTAAAACCTTAAACCCTAAATCATAAATTCTAAACCCTAAACCATAAATCATATCACATAATTATAAGGGATCTTAGTTGTATTATAGAATTTTTAATATATTTTTAAAATTTTATATTTATCAATAATGTATTTTTAATAATGTAATTTTAAAAAATCTAAAATTATAATATAACATTTTTTTCGAGCTGCTCACGAGCTTTTCGAGTCGAATATCGAGTAGCTCGTTTCGGCTCGTTAAGAAATCGAGTCGAGCTCGACCTAGAGTCAAGTCCATTTGATCCGAGTATTTATCGAGCCTTGATCAAGTCGATCTCGAATAGCTCGCGATCTGTCTCGTCTCATTTACAACCCTAGCTGCGAGAATGTAAGAGCCAGCGAAAGCCATATATATATATATTATGGACCACCATTTTGAAAAAGATATATCTGATTAATTCGCACTACATGGAGTGAATATTAATTAATTACAGGGTAAAGTATATAAATGGTCCCTTGATTATATGATATCATTTTATTAAGTCATTTGACTATGAAAAGTTACAAAATGATCCTCCTACTATTGAGAATTGCTTTGTTGAGTCCATTGACTATTAAAAGTCACAAAATTATCACCTAACTATTCATTATATTCCAAACTCATCATTTTCTGTTAAAATTTGACGATATTCTGAGTTGTAAGTTAACGTGCTGATTGAGATATGATAAATATGATCTAATAATCTCAAACGATTATTATATCTCAGTCAGCATGTTAACATCCAACTCAGATGACCGTTAATTTTTTAACAAAAAAGGATGAGTTTGAAACATAATGAATATCCGGTTGATCATTTTCTAACTTTTAGTAGTCGATAGACTTAATAAAGCAACTTACTATAGTCGATGGATTTTTTGTAACTTTTTATAGTCAAGATACTCAATAAAGTAGTATCGTATAGCTGGTGGCCAATTGTATACTTTATCCTTAGTTATATTACAAGATCTTTTTGTGTGGCTGGGAATTGGGTAACCTTAAATCTACCAATGAGATCACTTTATTTGTAATGTCGTGTCTACTGCTAGACAAAGGCGGAAATTGGGGGGCGGGCGGGAATTCAAATGAACTCAAAATTAATGGATCGATTATCGATATCCAGTCTAGCTGGTTGAAATATTTTTTTCTCGTAAACCAGTCACACGTGCATGCGTCCGTTTTTCAGTTAAAACCGTTGACCTTAGGTAAATATGGAACTACATAAGAATCGCACATTTCTAAACAAATTTTATTTTGGTTTTAAATTTGGATTCAATCCTTCTATTTTAGGATAATTAAAGATTTAGTCTCTGGTTCCTAATATGTCAAACTTTTCATCTTTATATTTTAACAGACTTTAAAAGTCTGTCCAATTAGATGACTTAGATAGACTGTATCGTGATTGAACATTGTTAATGTAATCTTCCTTCCACATTAAAAGAGATAAACCGTGATCAACTGATCAATTTATCACAATCTTTCAACCTTTTAAACCGCCCTAAACCACTATATTTCCTATTTATCATCAACAACTTCAACATTTTATATGTAAGGAATTAGAAAAAAAAATTCAATAATTTATACACAACAAATTATCAAAGAGAGACAATTTAATTTTATATATTTACTAACAGCTAGACTAATGACGTACGATAACCAGATTAAAATAGAGTAGAGTTACT